TCAACGTAGAAAGACCATTTCAAGATTACTGCTGTGAAATTATTACAACATATATACAATTGTGGAATTATTATTGTATATATAAAGAGAAAAAATAATTTAATTTAAGATTAATTGTAATTTTTAAAATTAAAAAAAAACAACAAAAAATGCCCTCTGTAAAACCGGAAGTTGTAGCAGGATGGTCAGCTCAAGAATTAACTCGTTGGCTAGAGAAGGTTTTGTTGGCCATTTAAGTTTTTAACTTTAAATTTTAAAATCATAAAAATAATTGATCAATTAATTAATGTATCAGTTAATTAGATTAAATATTTAAATTGATTGAAAAAAGACATTAAAGTATTAAAAACTTTGGAACGTTTGATTTTGATTGAATAATTAGAAAATTAAATAATTAATTAGTGTTAAATGATCAATTAATTAATTGGTTATCGTCGCAGAATTCTATGAAAAGTGCAGCAAAAGCAGTGAAATCTCGTAATATAACTGGTAGCCAGTTCTTGGTCAGTTCACAAAAATAAAATTAACGAACGAACGAACGAATGACTGAATGAATGGACGAATGAGTGAATGAGTAAAAGCGTAGAAACGTTTTATCGTGAAAATATAATAATGTTCCTTAACTTTCTTAAACACAGACAATGAACATTTCTAAAATGAAAACCGATTTTAATTTGGACAAAAACGAGACGAAGTAATAAAATAATTTAATTTATTAAACAATTAATAAAGCTTCTCTTAATAAACTCATTTAAAAGTACCAAGAACCTACTCTGCATTCAAACCCAGTTCACTGCGCCACTTCGTCATGCTAGAATACTAATTAACTTAATTCACTTCATCATAGTTGATGTTATCAAATTTCTTTTCAGAAAAATGACCCCTCTTATCGAAGAACTTCAAAAACAATACGAGGTCTATAACGGTAAGAACTGAGCTTATCATCAATCTATTCTTTGCACATGTATCAATTGAGAAAGAGAGAGAAAAAAAGAAAGAGAGAAAGAAAAAGAGAGAGAAAGAGAAAGAAAGAAAGAGAGAGAGAGAGAGAGAGAGGATGCACAATTGAATGAAGATCAGACAGATTTTATAAATTTTTTTTTCAAAAATTTTGTAAAAAAAAACATTTTTCTACCGAATCAAGTGTCTGACGGAAGCTTTGACGATGATGACAACGACGTTAGTTTTCCTTTACGTTTTACTTCTTATGTAGGTTTGAAAAATGTATAAAAAAAACATTAGATGGCTTTATGACAAATTAAAAGCACATTTAAAGTTGCTAAAGTGTCGTTTCACTGTCTTTCTCTTTCTCTTTCTTTGTTGCAATGTTTGTAGCATTCATGTGTTTTCTTTTCCATATATATAGAATATATGTATTATATGAATATATATATATATATATATATATATATATATATATATATATATATATATATATATATATATATATATATATATATATCCTCGCCATACCAGTGGATTTAAAATTTGCTCGTCATACGCTGGCAGCATTCGAACCGGGTCAACACGCAACCACAACACTCTACTTTATTTTAATTACATTGTCAGTCAATTACATTAATTTTTTTGAAAATACTTATTTTATAGGAAGTGGATGGAAAGCAAGGTTAGTTTATTAAAATTTTTAAAAAGAAATTGTTTTTGTAAAATTAAGGATGCGTTTGAAAGTTGTATGTTGGTGTGATGAAATGACGCGCTGCTCCTCCACCGAATTCTCGTGCCCCGGCTTTGACTCCACCTCTTCCAAATTTGACTACGCCCCTTCTTGCAGATTCATGCAAAATTTTAATTAACAAAATTGAATAATGTACTTAACTATTAATTATAATAAGCTATTTATATGAAGAATTAATTACCTAAAATTGATAAGTTACTGTGAATTAATCGATGAACTTTTTGAACAGATGACCAATACGATACAACAATTCTTGACGAGTATCCGGTTGGCAAGTTATCGATCTAATTTGCTCTTATTTGTTGTCTATACGACGTGATAATTTAATAATAATATTAAAGATGAAATTTTTAAAAATAATAATAGCAATAACAACGACAATCTAGGTAGCCAAAAATCCCTCCCTCACTCCACAATCAGATGACAACGATGAAAATCAAGATTACGAGCAGTACGAGAAAGGGGAAGATTATGAAAAAAACGGAAACACTTTGAAACCTCCCCCCCTTGAGCCAGCCCCGGCCCCCTCTCTTCCCATCCCCATTAAGACTCTCCCACCCAAAAACGCTCCTCCTGCTTTTCGAAACTTGCCTCCGTCACTTCCTAGTTCTCCTCCACCGAATTCTCGTGCCCCGGCTTTGACTCCACCTCTTCCAAACCTGACTCTGCCCCTTCTTGCAGATTCACAACCCCCACCATTAGTTTCACGGAAACAGAAAAATTGTGTCATTGAAAAGCAACAGAACCACAAGCCGAACATAACCTCTAATGAGCTATGTGATGCTAAAGATGAATATGATGCCTTAGAATTCAACGAAGTATTAATTAATGTTGTTGTTGTCCATATTGTATCTCCTGAATTGAATTTTAGAAAATAAAAAGATTTTTGCAAAACCAACATAAAAAATAAAAGAATTAACAAAACAAAATATGTTTTACTTTTTCAGGTCGAGTATGAGCCAGATGATCCCATGAGCCCACCAGCTCTTCCACCAGCGAGACCAGTTCTAAACGGCCCACAAAAATTTGCCCCATGCTTGCCCCCTCTTAAAAATAACAATTCAGCCAAGGTAGATAATATTTTAGTTTTGACAAACTCATGAGAGAACGTTATTAACGATTTTTGCTGTTCAAACAGAAAGCAGAACAGAATGCGGGTCCAGGAATTCTACCAACCAGGCCACCACCACAAAATTTCGGTAATTTGTTTTTTGCATGATGCCTCGTAAAACGTATTTACAATCTTGTGTTAATCAAATTTCGAAAGATTAGTCTAATAATAAACTTAAACAAATGCAGAACAACTAGAAGAAACGGAGTACGAAATCGAAAACCTCGTAAGTATAATGTTAATATTTTGAATCAAGACTAACATTTTTATTTAACCTTTTTTATATAATTCTCTATCAGCCACAGACTCCAAAAAGTTCCAAAGAGCAGCAGAGGGGTAAGCTAAATTATACAGCAACTTAAACAAAACATCCTCTAAATGGAAATATAAATCGTCACTGCAGATAAGGCACAACCACCAATTGGAAGAGGTGGTTTCGCCTTGCCAGTCAGCTTAGAAGATATTCAGAAATTCAAAAACGCAGCTCAAAGAGGTGGCCTACAACCGAAAACCCCCCCTCAATACACGAGTCCCGCCAACTCACCTGGTCCAAACATTTTGAAGCCATCCGGTGTTAACACTAAGATAGCAAATGGCGTTGCCAACAATCAAAATGTACCGCTACCTTACGCTTTTCCTGTGAAAACTGCAGTTTCGCCAAAATTAATTTCCAAACCACCCGCCAATTCTAATGTCAGTTATTGTATTTAATCACTTATTTTAAAAATTACATCAATCATATTGGAACGCAACACTCTACAATTAACTCTAAACTATACAGAAGAACACACTGGAGAGTAACGGTTGGTACCTTGAAATTGACAGGAAGGAAGGAGAGAAGATGCTGCAGAAAAGTGGCAAGGTGAGATTGAACTAAACATCGAACAGCAATTTTTACATAATAATCATTAATTCATGTTCTTTTTCAAATGTTCCACAGAACGGCGTTTTTATAGTAAGGCCAAGCGCAAAGGAACCTGGGAAGCCTTATACGTTGGCAGTTTACCTGAACGGGTCGATCAAAAATATACCGATACGAAAGAAAATGAACAAATTTGCGCTTGGAATAACGGAAAAAACTAACGAACAAGTAGAACATGTTTTTGGGCACCCTTCTTTATTACTAATTTGAAATCTTCGCATCAACTGTTAAATAACAATTGGAAACTCATTTACTTAACACATTCTCAGACGTTTGACAGTGTGCAAGACATGGTAAAGTATTACTGTACAAACAAGTTAGATGTTACAAATCAGGACGGATCATTGACTGAAGTCACGCTGGTCGACAGCATGTGATCCGCTTGCTATCTGGACTGATTTATTTAAACAAACGCCATTTCAACTGTTGAAATACAAAAAAACTGATGGAACCGAATGAACTTCATGAGAAATGATTTTATTTCGAAAATAATCAACAAATTTCAGATAAAATTTCTTATTAACTACTAATATTCACAAACATGAACACTTAGAAACATAGCTACAATTATTATCAAATTAATTTAAATATCGTGCTTGTTTCCAGATAAAAAAAAATAACCACGCAGTCACAAAACGAGATATTACCATCTGCTTTGTGAGAACTAACTGACGGCACCGCCCACTATAACTTAAGCGCATGCCTCCAATGCCTGATCCCTTTCTTCAATCAATTCTTTCTGTGTAGCACAAATTTTCTCCTTAGCAAAGGCATCCAACTCCAGACCGGTAACAATTGAGTAGGTCTTGTTTGGTTTGATGACCACGGGGAAACTGAAGATCAAGCCCTTCTCAACACCATATGAACCGTCCGAGGGCACACCCATGGATACCCAGCGACCCTGATTTTGTGGAAATAAAATTGAACTTGTTATTTATTTCGTTTCATATAGAAGAGAAATCGTTCTGAATTGAAAAAATAATGTAATAATACTTAATACTTCACTATCTCATTTTACCTCTGGAGTTCCAAACCACCAATCATGAAGATGGTCACAGATGGCTTTGGCAGCGGAGAGGGCACTGGAGAGCTTGCGAGCTGCTATCACTTCTGCTCCTCTTTTCTGGACTGTCTGCATTTTTATGATGTCAATAAATTATACGACTAAAATACTAAACCAACAAAATTTATTGACTGAAGAGAAGATAGAGTAAAAAATTAAGAAAAAAGATCAACTGACTGAGATAAAAGCTCCTTTTAGCCAAGCCTCATCTTTGACGGCGTCCATTATTTTCACTTTCTGTCCATTAAGAAGGACACAACCATGGCTGACATCTGGAAATTGGGTGGATGAGTGATTGCCCCAGATGATGATGTTGTGTACATCTTGGGCTGATATGTGCACTCTTGAAGCTACCTTGAAGTTTTATTGGACACAGTCTACAATACTATATATGATTACATTTGAATCATTATTGTAATGGTTCACATAATTACTACAATAAATATCACACACATTATCATGATTAGCATATTCATGATTATAATTAGCATAATCGCTGCCATTATTAAATATTCACAAGCTTACATCGGCAGTTTTAAATAGAAATGAATGGAATGTTAGGTAGCGCCGTGAAAATAAACCAAACATATAATAAATTCTGATAAGATATAATAATATAAAATACTCATAATTATAATAAAAATTAATAAAAATAATATTAATATAATAATAATAAATATAATTATGCTTTAACCTGTGATTGGGCCCTGCTCTGATCAAGCCTAGTCAAACATGTAAAGTTCTCAGGTGCTATGCTAGGTGCATACTTCTTGCAGATGAATGCATTTGTATTTGCTGGATTACCAACAACCACAACCTATGCAGGAAAAATTAGAAAAAATTTTTAGAATTTAAAATTATTTTTTTTTAAATTTTAAAGTGTGAAATTAATCAAGAGTTGGGAGTTTATTTATTTTTTTGATCTAACCTTCACGGATTTCTTTGCATGTTTGTCCAGTGCCTCGCCTTGAACTTTGAAAATTTTGACATTGGCCTTCAGGAGATCCTTTCGTTCCATACCCTCCTTTCTGGGCATGGCCCCAACCAGGATTGCTACATCAGCACCTTCAAATGCCTCATTTGGATCAGCAGTTGGAATGATTTCTACACAGCAAAATCAGGGTTAATAAACTGATACACTGTATTATACTGAACTAAAGTAAGCCAACAAATCTAATAAAGTAGAATTAATTATAAATTTTTTAAACCAACCCCTAAGCAGAGGCAGTGCACAGTCGACCAACTCCATGACGACACCCTTCAAAACACCCAACATGACTTCGATATCCAACAAGACCAAGACAATTGGCTGTGAAAACATTTTAATTACAAATAGAAATAATTTTAAAATTAAGAAATGATTATAATCATGAAAGGTTGATAAGTTCTTAGACGTTTTTGTTTAATTTAAATTTTAGAATTAACAAAAATTCAAATAAAATGAAAAATTGCTGAAAACTAAACCTGATCATGGCCAAAAACGTCTCCCTTGGCAACTGGGTAGAGCAAGGAATAAGCGATCTGTCCGGCTGCACCAGTGATGACCACACGGATTGGAGCTTTGGGAGCACTCTAGAACAAATTTAAAAGGCAACAATTTAGACAAAATTCCTCACAATCAAACGTAAATGATAATAAATGAGTTAATTTTAAATGTCATTTTTTGATTTCGTCACTTATTTCACCTAAATTTTGAGGACCCATGATCTCAGTCATTGGAGATCAGAGCCCGATCCATATTATAATTTCTAGTTAAATTATCAAAAATTCAACTCCTATCGCGACCAAACGACGAAGTGATACTAATGGCACAAAATGCGACCCAAAATCAAATAAAATTAACCATTTTGTGCTTTTATCAGGTGCTTTAAATCAAGATGTCGGGTTGAACTTTGGAGTTAACACAATATATCGGTATATATATATATATATCGGTATATATATCGGTATATATATCGGTATATATCGGTATATATATCGGTATATATCGGTATATCTACTTAAAAGTGATATATAGGGATGTAGTTACATACCGACTATTAACCTTTCTAGAGTCGGTAAGGTGAACGAAGGTTAATCTCGAAAGGTTATAGAGATGGATTGTTTGTCCTTCATGATTGTTTTACGGTTTACGGTTATTGAGTACGATTTGATCAATTAAACAGTTATATTATGAATTTTAATGTTCAGTTTAGTGTGAAGAACGTAGATGTGAGCATTAGAAGTGTAAAATTGTATTAAATTGGTTGACAACAAGCCAAACAAATTCGACATATAAATGAATATCTAAGAGAGTCATAATTTTTTTCATAAAAATATCATTTCTGGATCACTCTATTGCTCAATTATACTTTTTTAGTCAACCTATTTCTAACTAAACTTTCAAACTTTAGAAATTGTTTTGCTTTTCATCATTCTCTTTGCTAAATCGTTTCAAAAAACTAAAAATTTCTTCCAGATGAAATATTTTTAGCTTTCAATTGAGAATTGGTTTATTAAATTTCAATGGGATACTAAGTTGTTCTAGCATTAAATGTCTGTTTTGACAATTTTATTTCAAAGTTCCAGTAAAAAAAAGTAAACTAATACGTCTAAATATGATAGCTTCATATTATTTTTAAAAAAATGACTGAAAACATGAAATTATAATTAGTATGTCAATCGAATAAAAAGCAAATCGTCTATCAAGTATGAAACGTTTGAACAAAAATATTTCAAATTTATAAAGAAACAAGAAAGGACTATGTATAGTGTGTAGATAAAACAATCATTAAAATGAAAAAAGGTATACATCAAATGAGTTTGTTAAAATAAGTTGATGTCGTAAAAATCGTCAACATTATTTGCGTGGGCGGTTGTGACCATGAACTCGGTTTCTGACGAAAATTTGCTTCCACCGGACATTTTCGTCCTTTTCCTCAATATCCCGCCATCATTCATCATTTTATCGCAAAATGTTTCTTTAACTTCAACGTTTTCCAATTTTTGATTGGAATCAGAAAGGTTAAATGCGTCAAAAAGCTCTTTCAATTTCATACTTTTGATCTGCCCGTCTTCAAGTGCGAGTCTTTTGATCACGGTCTTCTTCTCAACTGTTTTAGTAACTCGCCGCTTCACTTTCGTCCCGTCAGGTAACAGTTCGATGGATTCTTGAACTTTAGAATTAATCACCGGTTGATTTTCAATGGTGTTCGTGTAAATTTTAATAGAAGGAAGGATCTCATATATTCTGAGAAAGAGTGAAGGGTAAATTGAATTCATGAGAGCAATATTTTTATCATCTATCAAATCAATGTCATTTATTATGAGCTTTTTGTATACCTGTCCGTCAACCAGGCATTCTGTAGTGTGCCAGAGAGTTGAATCTTCACCTAACTCATCCTGGCATGCTTCATACTCAATTTCTTCTTGTTGAATTTGTTGTTTCGGGTGTTGTTTTTGCGGGTCGCCACTTGAAGATTTCACCATTTTTGTCGTCTTCACGTTTTTTAATATCGGCACACCTTCAGGCGTCTTGTCGTTGAAAAATTCTTCTGAGTTCATCGCGATGACGTTAGGCTCGTTGATGTTTGAAATATCTGGCGCTATTTCTGTGATTGATTCAAAAATATCAAAGTGACTCGTCTGTTCGTTAATTTCCGCATTAGAAATGCATCCATTTATTATGGTAATTTCTGCAACCGGTCTGAAGAATCTGGTTGTTGTTCGTTTAAATGAGAGCTTCGTGCCGTCATCTTTCAACGAATTTTTTTCTGAATAACTCGTTGATATCACCATGTCACCTTCAATTTTTTTATACGTTGAATTACTAACTGGAATGGTTTCTTCGGCGTCTATTTTAGTAACCGAAGTTTGCATCGGTTTTTCGGTACTGATTGGTTTCAGTTTCACTTTCATTTTGATGACTTTCCTTTTGATGGGCAGTTGTTCAGGCGAGACGTCATCGTATTGGTTTATCGATGTTTCCGTATCCAAGTTACTTCCGAATGGTTCGATGACACCAGACGGCAGATTCAAATAAATTTCTTCAACCTCGATGCCAATATTCTCAATTGAAGTAACTTCATTAATTAAATTTCCATTTTTAAAGGTCTGTTCAGTTATCGGTTTAACGAAATTCGTAATGATGAATTTTTTCTTCAAAACGCTTCCATCAGATAATGACTCTTCTCCTTCGTTAACCTTTACATTGGATTGAATGTCGCCTTCCAATCTTTTGGTCTCGATTACACCATCTTTAGTTTCAGGTTCTGTTACTGAAACAACTGGTAGCACCTCTTTCGGAGTTAAAACCAAATGTATCGTCTTTTTCTCAACGTTCGATCCGTCAGGCTGTTTAAACTCGGACTCGACAACGGATATGACATCACTTTTCCATAGTTCTGGATCATACTGATCCACCCCAGCTGGCAAATGAAGCATTGATTCAACTACGTAGGCATTCAGTGGAACTTCTGTTACGTTGCAGGCAGTCTCTATGTCATCAATGTACACTTTCTCAATGCGTGCTTTGTAGTAGCTGGTTGTCAATATTGTTTTCCGGACGATAGATCCGTCTTGAAGTTGTTCATCAACAGTTTGTTCGGTCTCTCGTGATTTGACGTCTCCTTCTTCAATTTTCGTCGTTAGTTTAAGTTCATCTTTTACAACTGCAGGCTCACTTTTGAAGGAAACTGATTTTAAAATTGGTTTTTTGGGAAGCGCCGGCTTAATATCCAATCTAGGAGTTATCTTAACGTTTGTCTTAAACTCCTTTGTTGGATACACAATTTCTTTGTTATTTATATCATTCTCATTGTTATAAAATGAACGGTTTGAATCAATCACAACATTGCATGAATTTGACTTCAAAAGTCCCAGATTCAACTTCAAAGCAGCCTGCAAAAGTTCCTTAAATAAAACGATCCTATCTACATTGCAGCCAGATACGTCATCGGCATCTTCATTGAGGACCAACTCAAAGCGCGGAGTGAAGAAGACGTTGGACCAGGACATCGTTTCTGAAGCCACGTTGTTTGAAGTTATCGAATTGTGGTCAATTTCCTCTTTGAAATCCAAGACTCCGACAAATGTGAAACCGTCATCCGCTTCTTCGAAACAACATTCTTTGCTAATATTTTTGTTACTTTGAATAGCATCTTCGGAACATGTCACAACAAAAACAACTTTTTGTTTGTCTTTTTCCTTTTCGTTTAAATATTTAATTGAGTTAAATTTAAGTCTTCGAGGAGCTATTTCATCGAAGAATAACTTACAATCTGGATTGAGATGAATTTCTGTTTCGTCAACCGTTTCGTTAATCAAATCATCTTTCAGCATGGGTTCTCTAGTCTCAGATATTTCGTAGAATGGTTTCAATTTTGAAACGATGACAATGTTTTGAAATATTTTGGTACCATCGCTAAGAATATTCAAATCTTTTTCAACTTTCAACTCCTTATGAACTGGCATGTTGGTATCTGTAGCGCTGGATGATGACGTTGATGGTAAGATATTCTTATTTGCATGATGACTCGCCGAAACGATAAATTTGATTACCGTTTTAGTTACAGAATTTTCGTCCGGTAGATAAACTTCGGAAACATTTTTTGTCATTTTCACCGAATATTGACGCTTTTCACTATCTATTTCAATCTCTGGACTCAACTCGACGATAACGACGTACATTTCCGTTCTTAATAGCAAGTCACAAAATTTTGTTTGACATTCAGTCTGCTCAAACTTTTCAATAATCGGGCAAAATGATTGAACGGTGGTTGTTTTCCATTTAATTAGGGTTCCGTCGTTCAAGAATGTTTCTTTTTCATCTTCTGACAATCTCTCTTCAATATCTCCCCATTCGTATATTTTTCTTTCTAGAGGTGTGCTTGGTTGAATGTGTATTTGATAATTGTGGGTAGAATTGTCAATTTTTTCGTTAACGTAAGAGTTTATTTCAACTGTACAACTGTTTTCATTAAGTACATCGCATGCTGGAATGTAAAAAGCTAAGTTGAACGTTTTGCAATCAATTGTTTTATCTTTTACTTCTGATTCTAAATGCAAATTTGAAGAAAGCTTCAACTTAATAATCGGTTTTACTTGCCTGTGTTTGATAATTAATTCTCTGTACAATGAGCCATTGGAATGCATATCGTCTTTTCTTTGAACTATTTCTGTACGATTTTCCATATTTTCTTCGATCTCTAAAGAAGGGTCATCTGATATTTTTGAATCCATCAAACAAGTTTTCACTAATCTGTTTCTGTACAAAATACCTTGCTGAAAATACTCGTGGTATTCGTGGTGAAAGTCTTTTAAATCGAAATCGTAGGAAGAAAATTTGTTCAACATGCTTCTCGGCACATCAAGTTTGTTTACTAATGTGTATATTTCTTCCAGGCATTCTTTTAAGAAAATTTTTGACTTTTCATTTCTTTCTTTGCATTTTTTCATCACGTACAATGGTTTAAATTTAGTTATTGTAACTGTTCTTGTTTTACGTATAGTAGATTCGTTTATAAATTTTTCATCAAATTTTACGACTTCTCTAATTTCTGACTCTCCTTCGATTAGACCATAATTAATGTTCATCAACTGGTTCTTTTTTAGGGTTTCTATCAAATTTATGTCTGTGAGGTTTTGATTTTTTGGCATAACGACAAAAGTAACAGTCGACTTGTTCACTTCGATGCCATTATCGATGAAAGATTTTTCAAATTTTGACAGAACTGCCGATTCTGAGTTGCACGCGAAAGGATTGATTTTAAAATTCGCGACTACAGTAACGATTTCTTGAATATCGATTTTAAAAAGATGTTCATTTACATCAACTTCTCCCATTAAATCTGTAGTTTTTTCCAACTGAAAATGATTGATCGTGATGGTTTTTGTTTTCTTCAGGTGTCCATTTGGAAGTTGTT